ATATTTTTTTTATTTTCAATTTTATAGTTGTTTCAAAATTGTATTCCTACTCGAGCTATCTTTTTTATTTATCTAATTTCTGATTTTATTTTATTTTTATTCTGAATTTTAATTAATCTCGTATTGGATTCTTATATGGACTCTTTTTTTAATATTCTTTATTTTATTTCCGAATTTCAGTTATTTATTTATTGTATTCCTACTTGTACTCTTCTTTTTTCCAATTTCAGATTTTATTTTATTTTTATTTCGAATTTTAATTAATCTCGTATTGGGTTCTTATACGAACTCTTCTTTCAATATTCATTATTTTTAATTTCAAATTTCAGCTATTTTTTAATTGTATTTCTACTTGGATTTTTCTTCTAGATCGATTGTGGGCTATCTCCGCCTAATGTCTCTTCTATCTTAGCATGTGCATACGGCATGACATGCATGCAGTGTTCTCCCTCTTTACTATCAATGGCCATGTATGTATGGCATGTATATTTTCCAGCCATATATCAAACGTGGATCACTATTTCAATTTGCACTCTAATTACCATCTAGATATGGATTAATGTAATTTGTTTTGTACTCTAATGACTGTCCATAAAACCATAACATCAATATTCAGACAACCTGTCCGACTCCTAATCAATCAACATGTTCGACTCCTATTCATTCAACATGTCCAACTGCCATATTTCCTATTATATCAAAGTTGCTTTCTATTTATACTCAATATTGTCCTAGATAATCTATACCACTAAAAATCTAGTACAACCTACGATCTAATGGTGTAAATATTTATCTTTTTCTTCAATTCATGTGGGAATTTCTAGCCTCCACAGCGAACATGGTGTCTTTTTTCAAAACTGTTTTAATAATATAATAGATATTTTTCTCTGAAATATGGTAGATCGTAAGTTATGGCCACCTTTGTTTATGTTTTATCTTTCAGTGCTGAAATTTATATGGACGCGTCCGATCTGACGCAAAACATCAGTTGGTAACTGTTGTTCAAAATGTTCTATCACTCGATTAAAAATGTTCCAAACCATTGCAGCATATGGTTATTATTTTGGATTGAGCAATTTAGTAATGGCTGGTGAAGAAGCATCTGGGATTATTTCCTCCTAAGCTGATGTAGCAAACATGTCATCCAGGAACACAAGAACATGGACAAGCCTCCACATCTGTTGACACTGTACACCTTACAATTGGAGCTTATTCATGGCTTCTTCCACTGCACGTTCATAGTATCTGTCACGTCCCAAAACGACTCTAAAATACATCATCTAAATTATGCCTAGAATAATTAAAACCCGTGTGAAAGCCTCCAACAATTAAAAGGTGCAAAGTTAAAAGCCAAATAAGGCTTGGGGGATTTTTGTATATTTCCTAAAAGCCTAAAATGCGTAAATAAATTTTAGTGGAATTTTCAGAGCACAAATAATAATTATTAAGAAATAAACAAAGTTAAAATGATTTTATAAAAAGAAAAACTCTAAAAAGTCCCCTTTCCCTCCCTCTCCCTCTTGGGCCGGCTTGTCCCATCTCCCTCCCCCTCTCCCCGCGGCCCATCCGGCCTCTCCCCGCGCGCGCGCCGCTGACGGGCGGGCCCGCCCGCCACCCTCGCTGACGGGTGGGGCCCACCTGTCATCCCCTTCCTCCCGCCGCTCCCGCCGCCTCGTCCGCGCCCTAGCGCCGCTTCCGCCGCGAATCCCGCCGCCTCCCGCCGTCTCCGCGTGCAATAAAGAGAGGGAAATCACTCCCCGTGATCCCCTCTCCCTTTTCCCCCCATTTTCCCTCTCTCTCTCGCGTTCAAACGGGCGGATTTGCCCCCGCAAATCTCGCCGGCGCCATTGATGGCGGCCGGACCTCCCGCGCCGGTTTCCTCCCTTCCCCGGCCACCCTCTCTCGACCCGGCTCTATTTAAACCCTCCCTGCACCTCCTCCGTCCGTTTCCGCCTCTCGCCGCCTTTCCTCCTCGCCGGAATCGAGCTCGCGCCGTCGCTCTCTCTCTTCGCCGTCGCCGTCGAGCTCCGGTCCGCCGCCGTCGTCGCCCCGGACCACCTCCCACCTCGGCGCCGCCTCCTTCGGCTTCGCCGCATCCTCGCCGACCTCGTCCACCCCTCCGTTTCGGTCGCCGACCGCCGGAACGCCGTCGACCCCGTCGACCCGAGCCGCGCCGCCGCCTTCCTTCGCTCCGGCCGCCTTTTTCGTCGTCGCCGTCGACCTAGGGTGAGCCGTGGACCGCCGCCTCTTTTCCCCCTTCCCTTTCCCTCTCTCAGCCACCGTGCCTATGGCCGCCGCCGGCGACCATAGGGGCGCGGGCGCCGCCTCCCGCCGGCTGCGCCGGCTTGGCCGTCCTCGGGCGCGCCGAGTGGCTGCCGCGTGGGGCCCGGCCGTCAGCCGCTCGCGCCCTTAGGTGCGGCTGACGCGTGGGACCCACGGCGCCGGCCGGTGTGAGCCCGGGTGCACCCGGTCCACCGTGGACCGTGAGGCTGCTGCGTGGGCCCCACTCCCGTGGACCCGGTCCGCGCGCCCCCTCCCCTCGGCTGACGCAATAAACCCTTTTAAAATTAAAATTTAAATGAAGAAATTCGCAAATATTCATTTAAAGAGCATATAAACTTCAAATGACCATAACTTGGCCATTTGAACTCGGAATTGGACCGTTCAAGTCTCTAATTTTTCCTTAAGAAGTCAAGAAGCCATTTTTGTGCTTTGTTCCTGCTTGTTATATGGAGTTTATTAGAGTAAAAGCCTTTTCTTTTCTGTTGGTCGTGTAGACGCTGCAGCTTCGGAAGATCCGCTCTTCGTGGAAGTTGAAGCCGACGTTTGGGAAAGCGAGCAAGGCAAGTCACATCATCCTTGAACATATTGAATCCCATTTTATAAAGTTATTTTGATTTAAATTATTGCATTATCGCTTTATTTAAATTCCCGCGTTATCACTGTTTTATCTAGCCATGCCTATGTACCTTTGTTATGACCTTATTATTGTTATTGTTATTATTACCTTGTTCACCCTAGAATAAACAAAACCCCAACTAGTGGACACTCTACTCATGGTACCACTAGTATGATTTTAGGTAGATGCTTCGCTGGTTAATTAGGCAACATTAGGTGGTTTTACAACTCTAGACTTTGGGATATTCATATCACCTGGACACTATGGAATGGTTGGATTATTGTGGAATTGGATTCACACCTCCCCCTCTATTCAAAATCCTCAAAATAGTTTTAGGCTGGGCTCGGGGTGCATGGTTTTGATAGTAGCACCTTGGCCATATAAGGACCGGTCTTCGGGCCTCTGTTGCAAAGCACTACCGTACTTCCACATGTCTAGTGGGTAAGGCTTAGTTTGTGGCTCAGTCTGGTTAAAAACAAAAGTACATGGATGGAGATGGACGAAGTCGGGGGTCGATGGACATCTCTAGGGCAAATGAAGGCTACACGAGCTGCGGCCCGGTAGTCGAGATGTCATGGCACAGGGCCGGTGTCCTGCTGCTAGGGGCTCAGTCCTGCCTACCTGTCCCGGAGGTTCCGGCCGTAGGTGGGGTTGGGTCGGTACTCTTGTCTATGGCTAGGATGGGTTGGAAACTATGTCACGTCTTCCGTCCGTATACCGTGGTGGTATGTGGCACGTGGTTACACGTGAGGAAGATGTGTCTTGTGGGTAAAGATGTACACCTCTGATCAGAGTATAATCTATTCGAATAGCCGCGCCCTCGGTTATGGGCAAGCCGAGCAATGTACCCAAGTTAGTGTTTTAATTCTTAAAACCTGCTTAACAACTAAAATGTGGAATGGTTGGCCTGGGTTGGCTTGGGACGAGCTGGGACCCAGGGTCGGGTTGCCAGTTCGGTCTGAATCATCGTAGGCCTTGGGTTAAGGCAGGTTCGTGTGGGTTCACGGCCTTATTTAATAATATTGTATAGCTTTAGGATCGTATTTACAAAATAGCTTTGAGCAACTAAATGTCTTTTAATGCTGTTTGCTGCAAACCCTAACCCTTTATATTATAACCCCCTTGTACTCCCTTGCATTTATCCTGCACTTGTGGGTGTGTCTTGTTGAGTACGGTGGTTGTACTCAGTCTTGCTCAATTTTTCCCAAACCCAGAAGAGGAGCCCCTGGATGATGAAGGCTTTGGTGTCTAGCTTGTGCCTGCCGTCAAGCGCCTGTGGTCGTCGCTCTAGTCTTCCGCTGTTTCCCGTTTGTCTTTGTGTGTGCTGGGCCTTCGCCGCCCATGTAATAAATTAACTATTTACGCTTCCGCTTGTTAAACTCTGAACTGTGTCAACTTTTGGTGTACCTTGCCTCCTGAGACAAGGAATAATGCACGCACGTAAAGAACGCCCGTTGGGTTATTTCCGGTCGTGACAGTATCTCATTCTCTGTGTAGCTTTCACTGCACGGTCAAAATCCCTCTTGTCGAACGCTTCCTGGAAAGGAATTTGGACCAGGACTCTAGCTTTCTCCTAATCTGAGAAGTGGCATACAATGTGAGCCTATAAATCATTCCAAAGCTTTCTCCTAGGACTCTAGCATTTGTTGAAAGTTTTATGGACTTTTAGTATATAATAGATGGCAGGTTCTACATTATGTCTATTCATGCATATATGGTTATCTCAGTTCTCAGCCTTAGCACTGCTTGTTTGTTTTTCAGAGAAATTAGTGACGTTATTTTTTCTTGTTTTAAATTTAGTCAACTTTCTCAATTATTTTCTAGTTGGTTACTGAACTTTGGTCTTTCATACTGGGCGTTTTATCGGGAAGGAATTGTCAATTGGTGCTTCAACTAAATTATATAAGCATGTTGTTTAAGCTGCCATACTGAGTTGTTATCATCTGACTGCAAACTATCCAAACAGCACGTGAAACATATGCTCTCAAAGAAGCAATTTGGCCTTTTTCCCGCGGAAAAAACAATTTGATCTAGTAGTAACCATGCGCATGTGCAGTTGTACAAACACCATTTCCAAAATTCTACCGCGGCTACAAATTAATTGAGTAGGAAACAAATATAAAAACTAAAATCAGATTGTCATAGCATTCTTCATTTACTCGCCCTATTTGCAACTTCCGACTCTGAAGAAAAACACTGAAAATGCAGGTTGCTTAGCCTGCTACATCTGCATCCTTCTCAATCACCGTCTGCTTAGCGACAACAAAAGAGCAAGGGCACAGACGCAGCAGCTGGCATAGATACACACAAAACACACACGAGTTTTACAGGACAAGCCTATTTTAGAAATTTTACATGTACTCTCTCTTATTGATCCAAAGGGTTCGTTCATCTATCTCCTTCTTGTACGCTACCTTATGCTGCTGTCAGCTTCTTCTTCTTCTTCTTCTTCTTCAGTAACTGGTGACGATGAGCAGCCCGATCGCCGTGACGACGATGGTCGACGGCACCCCGAACCGGAGGTGGCTCCAGAAGGAGAGGTTGTAGCCGAAGAACTGAGCTCTTCTAGCCTGCTCGCAGACGATGAGGTTCGCAGCCGAGCCCAGTAGTGTGAGGTTCCCGGCAACGGTGCTGACCCACGCTAGGATAAGCCAGGCCTTCCTCTCTGAATCGTGAGAGATTGCAGCAGCTGATGCAGCCACTCTTGTGCCGAGCAGTAGTACTGAAAGACAAAGTTCAGAAATGTTATAAAAGTGCCACAAAAGAATTGTTCAGAACTTTGGGATAACTTTGACAGTCAGTATCCAAAAGAATATTGTTCTGAAGATTTACCTGTGGGAACATTTGAGGCCACATTTGAGAGGATAAGAATTACCACAGCAAGAAGAGCAACACCCTTAGCACTGTCAATTCGTGAATACGGTTCAACGAGCTCCCAAAGTGTGTTCGGTATGCCAGTTTTGTTGAAGCCATCGACCGTAATAAACATCCCGCAGAAGAAGATCAGCAATGAGTATGACACCTATCATCAGACATGGCAAACACATGAAATTTAATTGTCCCAATGAACATGATTCAGATAAATTGTTGATTCAGGCATCAGTAAGTAAAATCATACCTTCTCCAGACAAGCCTGTGCATCAGTAAAATCAAGCGCCAGAAGAACAAGAGCCGCAGTGATGGCTGTCCATGACATGTTAAGCCCCATGAGAAGTGCAATGAGCATGCCAAGAGTGATGAGATAAACAGCAGTCTTCCACACAAACACCCTCCATCTCTTCTCCGCAACCTCATCTTCCTTCTCCTTGTCGCCATTGCTGGCGGGAGACGGCGGCGAGTCCTCTATGATCACACTCCTCTGCTGGCTAGCAGTTCTTGTGAACTTCCTGGAGGATGCACCTTCATCCCTCCTGTCAGTGACAGTTGAGACCTCGACCATCTCATGCGACATGCTCGATGCCCGGAGCGACTTGATCGCGAGCTGTATGTCCGCCTCCGAATTCACACTCCTGCTCCTCAGATTCTCATTAGCACTGGTGCTCCTCACGCTGTTGCTCCTGATGATTGGCTCACTTATGCAGTCCATATCATCCGGGTTCAGAGATGAGACGTGTGACATTCTTGCAGGTGTGAACCTGTGTGAGGTGACCTCGTCGTCGGCGACCACCTCCGGCCCAGCCGGCTGCCCGCCTTCCTGATCCTTCTCCACTGAAAGGTACTTCCAGAAGTAACAGAGGAGGATGGCAGCATTTGTCAGGACGCCGACGATCATCGCCGGGAAAACTCCAAGCAAGAACTGTCCAAAGGAGATGCCGCTCTCCACGGCAATGACAAGGTTCTGCGGGTTGCCGATGGGCGTCGCCGCGGAGCCGATGTTGGAGCTGGTGGCGAGGGCGAGGAGGAACGGCTGCGGCGGCAGGTTGTTCTGCCTGGCAACCTTGAGGATGAACTCGGTGAGCACGACGCAGCAGGTGTCATTGGTGAAGAGCGCGCTGGCAATGGCGGACACGATGCAGACGCGGAAGAGCAGGTCCTTGCTGCCCCTGCTCTTCCAGGAGAGCAGGTTGCCGAGGTACTTGAACATGTCAGCCCTCTCGAGGAAGATGCTGACGACCATGGTGCCAAAGAGGAGGCCGATGATTGGGAGGTCGATGGCGGCATAGGCGTCCTCCGGCGAGATGACACGGAAGAGGACCATGAGCATGGCGCCAAGGAGGGAGCCGGCCGTACGGCCGACGGGCATGAACGGGACGGTGGGGAAGACGGCCAGCACCCAGAATATCCCAAACGCGACACATCCCAGCACTACTTTGGAGGTCCCTGCCAACGCCATGTTAGCAAATCTCTCGTCCTCGAACGATCGAACGAACGAACGATCGATTGATCGATCTATACTAGAGCTAAAATGCTACGAACAATTTTTCACTGATGATGTTTTGGTTTTTGCAAGAACCTGTCACGAACTCACAGATTGAAGAGACAGTACAGAACAACCTTTCCCCCCAAAATTACGTTCACAATCTCAGGTCAGGTTCAGGCTACGTTCACAACCTCCTTGCCCAACTCAAACTCAAGAACCTGCAGAAATTGGAGCAGACAAACAAACAGAGGCTACAGGTTAATTCTAAAATCTGTAAAAATAAGAGAGAGAAGGTAATAAGATCATTTAAAAAAGGAAATGTAAAGATCCTTTTGTTGTTGTTGTTGTTGTTGTAAAATAAAGTTTCTTTGATCCGGGGGAACGAAAACGAATTAGCAAGAAACAACGGTGTTAGATCGACTGCACGAAAACGGGAGGACACATATTTGATATTTGAGATCAAGCACCACCACGCCTACTCACGGTGTATCCTGCAAACAAATTCAAGCGAGAAAACAGAAGCCCTTATCAATACAAAAATCCTTCGCACACTTCACCAAACTAAATGAATAGAGCTACCGAGATTTCCTCAGATAAATTACTGTAGTTATGGCTAAAAATCCAGATTTTTTGTTCCCCCTATTCTACGCTTCTTGCAGTTGATCAGATCGAATGGATTGGAGCTTGGCTTACCGACTAAAAAGAAACGAAAGATCCAGCACAAACCCGTGCATGCAGTGGTGCCAAAGAACCCCAGGAACAAGATATTTTTTTCGATTGTTTCGTGAGCTACGACTATGATTGGTCTCTGGACGAAAAGAGAAGAAATGAACTTCGGTTTTGGGTTGCTCACCTCGGAGTAGGGGCGTGGAGAGTGGAGAGTCCACAGTGCCACGCGCAACGATGAGAACTTTGGAGTTTGGACTTGGAGAAGTCAGAAGTGGAAAGAAGCAAAAGCAGGCGGCAGCGGCGGAGTGGTGGTGGTGGCGAGAATAAAGCGGAGGTGGAGGAAGGAAGGAATGGAGGGGGGGCAGCTAAATAAAGAGAGCGTCCACTGCTTTCATGGATGATTTGAGGTGACTGGTGGGTCCCACCGTTGAGGGTCCTAGGAAGGGCCGATTTATCATGTGAACCCAAAGGGTGGAGCTCCCATTGTGTGAGTCCGTTTTCATAATTTTGTGATCCGCATATTTGGGACGGTGGTATAGTGCTACTTGAATACTTCATCACAAAATAAACTAGTTCTTGACTATAATTTGGATATTCTCTTTGTAAAAAAATAAATATTTAAATTCGTTGTACTAGACTACGTCACATTTAATCCTTCTTAAGATCTCTATAAAAAAACAAATTTATAGGAAGATGTGACACCACCTAGAAAAGCATCCAATCCTTATTAGGATCCTTCCGTCTAAAAAAAGTTTAATCTATATGAAGATGTGACGCTTTGTCCAGATCCAAAACTAATCAAAGATAGTATTATCTTTGTCCAAAATAACATTTTCAGTTATAGAGGTTATTATGGAGCAAATTAAGACAAATAAAATGACCTATATGAGAATTATTATATGGCATGTGAATGTAAGTGAGAGAGTAGTTAGGGGTAAAATGAGGAAAATTTGAATGAGATAGGATTCATCGAAGTGACAACTAGTACTCTATTAGTAATGTAGAAGTACTTATTTAGAGACAAATTTAAATCCTAATATTTCATTTATTCTGAGACATAGGTACTATGATATCATATGACGGATATATGCCGATCGCAAAATTATATGTTATGATTGTGGAATACCGTTTTATATGGGAATGTATATATGATTACTCTGTATATATAGTTTTTTCTATACATTTATTATCTCCTTGCTTTATATATTTATGAAAGAAAATGGAGAATTTATAAAGTAAGGACTATATTGGTTGGTACACATGGGGTGTGGGGCTAGCAGTTTTCCCATACGAACTCTCCTCCTATGATTCGCGAAGTTGCCAACGATTTGGATTTGCATGCTTGGTTTGCTGTTGATTTGGATTGCGCGTGGGACGTGTGTGGCGGCCAGCGGAGAGATCGCGCCGTTTCTTCCGATACAAGAAATCTCGACGATCTTTGAAGCCAAAAACGCGTCCGGATGACGAAGCGATCGACAAGATTAGCATGTCATTGTCGCATGATTTTGCCGTATTTCTAGCGAATAATGGGCATCCTGTGGGTTCTCCTGCTTCCATCCACGCTACCAATGATTGTACGTATGCAACGACGTTTTGGTGGTCAATTTGCATCACAACTTATCACAGCCGCGTGAGCGCGACTACTCTGGACTTTGGGACACTGGAGTTTGGAGTGGAGTGGCAATGGTACGAAGTAGTACCACAAACACAGGTGATCGTTTGGCCTAAAACTGATAAGCCATAAAACGACGTATAAAAAAAGGAATAATTTATAGATAAATTTGTATTCGCGGTTCAAAATTCAATGTAAAAAATAAACTAAGGTGAAAAACCTAAAAACCAACTCTAATTTAAATTTGAAAATTCAAATTTTAGTAGATAATTATGAGCTGAAGGCTAACAAAGACGAACCACCTCTACTTTGGGTGTAAGCGCGTTAGATCCATTATTATTATAGATGGACTTCATGCTAGCCCAAAGCCCAGCTAGAGAGAAAATTAAGACGAGCCTGGTCTTATGGGAAATTTTGTTTAGTTACCGATTGTTTTAATTATTTTCTGATAAAATAGATTATTTTCATAATTTGCATTAATTATTTTCTGATAAAATAGTTTGAATATTTGTATTAAGGGAATTAAATTTAGCCATGTAGTAAAACTAAGATCAGTCTCGATTTAGGCCATGTATGATTCAGCTTAGGATTATTATAATCTGAATTATTAGGAATAAGTTCAAACAAACATATAGCTTATTATGATAGATTATTACAATCTATAAGCCAGATTACTATAATCTAATCCACTTTAAAGGTGCTTTTTTAGATTATTGGATGGCTAACACCTAACAAACAACTTATATAATCTAGGGAAACAAACAGCTCACAACTTATTCTGTATCGGCTTATTATAATTCAGCTTATAGTAATTTGACTCAATAATCTAAATTAAAATAATTTTAAGCTGAAACAAACAGGGCCTTAGTTTGGAAGATAAGAAATTCACACACACAGAGAACAGAGAACAGAATGACCCGGGTTTTTTTTCCTGGGTCGGCCAAAGAAAGGCAGATCAAATTTCATTAAGAATAGTTTGGAATGAAACAAGGTAAATCCATGAAATTAAGTTTCGATTTGAAATGTTCCTGTTAATGAATTTTATATCTTCCAAACAAGCTAGGTTTTGAAAATGTCTCCATGTTTGTATAACAACACCTCCCCTACATATCTCTAAACATGGTTTTATGGTGGTTTCAATTAGTAGATATTTCTAGGATCCTTAGGGCACAAGAACAACCCCGGCCACCACAGAACCATCTCAGATGTGCCTGCTCCAGTGCTCACCCCTCTGTCTCACTCCTAATACTACATAATGGCTACAGCTCTGAACCACAAACCCATCAACTTGTGGACAGCAACAGATCAGACCAAAACCAAAAAGATTACTCGGTCTCCATTATCACGGCCAATTAGAGTAGGATATCATCTACCGACGGATCAATAATTGAGTAGTCTATGTACTATTATACAGAGCAGATAAGAGCACAAGCATGCATAGCCAGTGGAATGATGAATCTGGTTTGCAAGGTGAAAGTGCTTCGCCCAGTACGTATACTTAAGTGCTCTCCACGAAGGGAACTCTGCTCTGTAAAGCAACAGGGCCTGACCAACCAGCCATGGATCTGAGGCCGTCAGCTTGTCAATTGCCAGGATTAAATTGGCTGCATGATGAACTCCCAGCAAGAGGAAGACAAGTCATGTGATTGATGTTTCATGGGCTTAATTACGTGAGAATGTGACAATTCACCTACTATTTGACAACATCCATTTTTCCCCCTCCTCCAATCTCTAGCTAAGGCCCAGCTCAAATATGCAGTTTGTGGCTCGGAGGGGTGAAACATTAGCCCATAATTAATTACGTATTAACTAAAAAAATTATATAAACACACTGTTTAACCGTTTAATAAAAATATTAACAGAAAATGAGAAAATTATCGTTTTGAGTTACTCAAAAGAACTAAGTCTAATTCCCCATGCGATAGCAAACACATCGAACCTTTCCAACCAAACCTCGAATGCCAAACCCACAACAATCCGTGCAATTATAGGGAGAGATGAAAAGAGTGAGAAGCACTTTTGTGCCCACATGAAGCGACCAGCTTTATTGGCCAGCATTGACAAATAATCACCCGTGTGTGGGGGGAGATAAGATCGTCTTTACTAGTACTTTGATTTTCTTTCACCGTCGCTGTGCTAAGAACTAATCAGGCCAGATAAAAAGTTGATCGATGCAGTTTCAGAAAAACACAGCAAAGAAAAAAAAAAGAAAAGGCTCGTTTTGTCAACTTCTTCCAGTGCCAAGCATCTGCGTGTGACGCTGTCAGCCAAGCATGTGGCAATTGACAAAAATGACAAAGTCGTGTACTGAAAACCTCGAAAAATTTTGGGTTTTGTTTGGTTGGTGCCTGATGGAACTTGGAAGCCCCATGTCAATCTTGGTGGTGGGCAACGAAATCTGGGGTTTATTTGGTAGGTGTTAGTTTTTTCTTTCTTTCTTGGCCCGCAAATTGACCTGACACGTTTGCTAAAACCCTTTTTGATGGCCAAATCACTGGTTTTAATTGGTTTTGGTCCCAAAAGATCGGCACCTAACTATATGTCTCTTTCTCATTAACCGTGTCATATGGGTTTACAAAATTTAGTTTGGCCTGTGTTACTATGTGGTTTTTTAATAACTTTTTTCGATTGCACGGAAGATGCACGTGCACAAATATCCTATTACCTAAATTAATTATGTTGAGTTTTATGACATACTACTACTCAAGTCTTATTGAATAAGCCCTGTAACCCTACATTCACATATTTTGTACCCCATGTGTTGGGTTGTTCATGCATGAACAATAAGCACTTTCCAGCCCCTTTGAAACACATGAATAATAAACACAGAATTTTGATATAAAAGCATGAAAAAGTGGATACAAAACATAGAAAAAACATAAGTATATTGTTTGGATAGACCGTAGAAAAAAAATATAGAATTGAATGAGGGAGAGAGAGATTCAAAGGAAATTTTCTAATAGATTGGAGCTCTTGTTAACACCTTTTTTTCCCCTCCAAAATCTCCGTGCATTGAACCCTTCCTAAGAAATTTTACAAGATTTGAGAAGTTTCGATACTTTGTTTCAAACGGCTAAATAGAAAAAAAAATCCATATAGGATTAAAATCCTATAAAACTTCTTCACAAATCCTTTGTTTCAAAAAAGGTCCATCGACCATTGATGTCAGCATGCATATGCAGCCTTGTGATGGTGCTATATATATATGGACATGCGTGTATTCTCTTCAATAATACAAAGATCTACTTGTCAACACGTGAATACGATCGGCAAGTACTGTACAGTGAACCGCAAGTACTGCTATACCGTTGTACAATAGTATTATTACTGTAATTAAATTTATCATACAAACGGTTTCTATTTATAGTGGACGCTGGCAAAACAGTTGGTCCAACGCAGAATTGTCTAAAAGTAGCATAAACGAAATCATCGTAGTTCACCACAACGACAAATGAAGCCTTAATTGGTTGAAGGGACAGTAGGTCAATTTTTAAAATGCAATAATTACGGCTACAGAAATCATCTTTTTTTAAAAAAAAACAACTACAAAAAATATCTTTGCACAGAGTCATAACATATTTTCACATAAGAGTGAACAAACCGCCTCTAACTTAAAACCTACAAAAGTACTCAAACATTGACACTCAATCTATTTTGTTATTATGAACCACACGTGCTCTTTCGTGACCCGCCATTGACAAGGTTATATAATGCTTCTCTTTTTTCTTTCCATCTCTTTTAAAG